CTCAGGAAGTCCAACATTTTACTGACCACATCAACTCTGTGGATAAATACATCAAGTTCACACGAGAAGATGAAAAAAATGGCAAGTTGGCTTTCTTGGACTGTGAGGTCTCAGTCTCTGATAGAGGACATTTGCAAACTGAGGTGTACCGCAAACCCACCCACACAGACCAGTATTTTCAGTTTGACTCCCATCACCCTTTGGAGCACAAGTTAGGAGTCATCAGGACTCTGTATCACAGAGCAGACAGCATCCCCACTAGCTCAGGAGCCAGGCAGAAGGAGAAATTTTATGTTTCTTCTGAACTGACTCAAAGTGCTTAAAAATTAAAATATTAAAATATATATATGCAAATGCAAATGTGGTAAACATGTGCAAGTCTTGCACACTCAAGGTACCACTGTCTTAGATTTTCAGAATAAATTGCAAAAACATTTTTTATGTTGATGCGTTGGATTTCACAAGTAAAATTAAACATAGCCTGGTATATTTGTGATATTGGATGTTTATGTCTTCTAAAACTTATGGCGTAAGACAGGGGTTCTCAAACTAATTTGGCTTCAGGGACTCCTTACAGTGGAGAAAAAGTTTCAGGGACCCCCTCATAACCCTCATGTTTAATAAATAATTTTCTTCAATTTGTCTCTTTAATGCAATGGAAATTTCTGTGTAACATAAATGCGTAAGACCTCTTCTTTAATAGGCTTACTGGTAATACAATTTTTATACTTTTAAACATGGGGTATTTGTCATTCAAGACACACTTAGTTAACACAATTTTTAATTTTAACTTGCAAAAATTACAGTTTTGAGAAAATTAACAGTATCAAAAACCACCTTAATACTTTACCTATTCACTTAATGAACATAATAAATGTGTTGCCATGTCTTACAATTATTACAGAAAACTCTTCACATAAAACTGAACAGAATCATAACAGCAGTAGTCATGCCAAGTAACAGCGCTTCATTTGCAAACCGATCAATGGGGGCAGGGTCTGGGGTTCATGCCCCAGATTTTCAACCAGTTTGAGAGCCACTGGTGTAAAACACCAAATTATACACACTCCCTGTTCTCAGAAACCTCTTTTCCAGTCTTTTTGGTCAGCTAAACTGATCACCTGCTGGTTCAGTCTTCTAAAATATGGAAACATTTTCTTTCCTGTTTCTTACCTTCAATGTGAGGGTTACAGTGTCACCAGTAACTTCTCTGTCAATCACTGATGATACAGATATGACTCCATCATTCTGTGACATTTTAAATAAGCCAGGTGGTTTGGAATCTGTAAAAAAAAAAAAAAATCTAAATAAACATTTTTATTTAACTCGCACCTATAAAACAAGAAGCTGTTATTGGTTTATTTAATATTACCTTCAATAGTGTAGATCATATCATCATTGATTCCTTTGTCCTGATCTATGGCACTCACTTTAAATACAGAAATGTCCTGACAAGAGGGGAAAAAAGATTTTTAAAACCTATCACATTCGATGATTTACTACGTTGTAATGAGCAAAATTCTATGGCTTTTGAAAAAGTCAGAGTTGATTCCAAAGCAATTGTGATTTTTTTTTTATTTGTTTCATTAAAGTGTTTTCAGTCCTAATTATTGGATTTGTTTCAATTGTTTTTGTACCATTAGTGCTCAGTGTATTCTTAGTTTGGTGCATTCTTAGTTCATGACTCGGATCTTACTATTTTTCTTTACAATTTATATTTTTGTTGGATGTAACTAAGACCCTATGTACAGGTACATAGTTTCGTTCCACCTCATGTACCACATGTGATGTGAATGACAATTTAAAAAACCTTGAATCCCTTGAATATGTTTAATTTGTTTTAAGTGTTTAACTGCTAAACCTAACCCTTACCTACAGTAGGCTTGTCAAAGTTATGGACATTCAAGTATAACAATACATTCATATATATATAAATAAATAAAGACACATCACCAACACTCACCACAGCTGAATTCTCTTCAACGCTCTGTGTATAGGGAGTGTTAATGAAAAGTGGGTCAAGGTCTGCAACGTCTTCGACTGTAATGTAGGAGAAAACACTGTTTGACTGAACGGCGAATGGGCCTGAACCACATGAGCCACCACCATCCTGTAGAAAAACACAGTCTTTAAGATTTTATGACAAAATATGATTTATGAGTAAGTTAAGCTAATTATTCATAAAATGGACAGAGAATAGTATCTGTAATCTTTATACCAGTGATACTGATCACATGACGTTTTATTGCATCAAATGTTTAGAAGAAATTCAACAATGTAATTAGAGCATTAATCATACTGTGAATAAACCAACAAAGATTAAATAAAAACAAAGGAACACGTTTCACAATTTTAAACATACTTACACTTGCGTTAATCTTAAGACGGTAAAATGTGCTCAGTGAGGTGTAATTAAGACGTCCTGTTAGTTTCACTTCACCGTTAAATTGACCAATTGAAAACATTTCAAATCCATGTTTGGGCGTTACCTGGAAACATATCCCAACAAGACTCCAGCTTAGGAAGCATCAGCAGAAAATGATAATAAATGACATGATTTACAGCTTACGTCATCAATTTTGTATCTAACAGCACCAGCATCTCCTTCATCATCATCCGTGGCAGACACTTTGAACAACAATTCACCTGTGGGCGTATTCTGGATGCAAAGTAAGACAGAAAATAAACTGTCTTGGGTTTTTCCTACACAGTTATTTATGTGTAAGCAAATAATTATTAAAAAAAAACAACTATTCAAAGCAGGTTAGAAATCATGGATTAAATTATGATTACATGCTAACATCTTGAAATAAATAAATGATTATTTTAACATGATTTATTTACCTCTGGGACTGACTTGTCATAGGAAGGATCTAGAAACTCAGGGCGTTCGTCATTGACGTCTAATACTATTATATTCATTGACCCCTTTCCCTGAAAGCATGATAGGCATTATTAATTTAGTGAAAAATAAATAAACAAACAAACACTAAATAATGAAATGTAACTTACTTCATTATGGCCGTCAGAGACATGGGCCGTAAATGCCAAACTTCTTTTATTCTAGAACAGATAAAAATATATGTCATAAAGCTTTAAATTTAAAAAAGCCTTTATTTTTGCCATGTAAACGCTGTGAACATCATACCTCTCTATCAAGGGAACCTTTCATTGTTACTCTGCCAGTTTCAGGAGTGACTTCAAATACTGCAGCATCAGTTCCAGAGATTCTGTAAGTCATTGCGTCACCTTCAGGGTCTGATGCTTGGATATCAAATGCATGATCTCCTATACAAATAACAATAACAAACAAAACAAAACATGTTTTGTCATTGCTAATAAGATCAGTATGTTGAAAGGTAAATAATTTTCATAATTATCTAGATACAGGTACCTATCTTGATGTCTTCACACAACTGATGAACCGCAGAAGTGACTGTAGGAGCGTAATTGGTTCCTACAACAAAATATTTCAAGATTAGATGGTTTTCGTAAAAGAAAAAAAAAAAAAAAGAAAAAATCCGGGTCAAATAAACTGAACACCCACCTTGGACTGAGCAGACAAGGAGCAGTATTATGCTTCCTGTGTACGCCCTCATGTCTGAAAATCACACAGAAGATTTATTAACGACCCTAATATTTAAGTTTTGAAGAAAAACAACAAACACTATGAACTATTTGACTCTTTAATTAATTCAGTCATAAACACGTCAATATTATGAAAGCCTGCAAATATTACTGCTGAGCTGAGCCTGGAATAGATGTAATTACAGCTAAATTACAACAATATTTAAACATAATCCCAATCTGCTCATTTTAACATTTACAGTAATAAATTCAGCTTCTTACAGTTATGTCTATATTTTTTTACTCTAAGCAAAAATTTTGTCTTTAGTCTTTTGCTGCTACAAGTCCAAATTTAAACAAATTTAAAGGAGAAATAGAAAAGGATATTTGGATCTGTTAGTCAAAACAGCAGAACTTGGCAAAAAAAAAAAAAAAAAAAAAAAAAAAAAAAAAAATATATATATATATATATATATATATATATATATATATATATATATAATACATAGTTCTTCAGTCCACTTCTTTTTATTACCAGAATGCCAACAAAATATTTTAATGTCCCCAACAGCCCTACTACTGATATGGAGTGTTGCTATGTAATAAAAAATAAATTACTAAAAGGAAGGAAAGAACACTGATTATTAAAGAAGTAATCACTGCACAGGTTTGAAAAGATGCCAGTAAGGAAGTATCATAAAACCTTGTTTTTCCTTATTGGAGTCAGGGGTTGTGCTTCTATTTGTTTTTAAACAGTGTGTTTCACAGGCCTTGTTTAACATCACTGTGCCTTCCTGCTGTACTCAAGGCAGAATAACCCCATAGTTTGAAATCATATGGTAAATTCAACAGCAGGAGAGTTATTATCAATTGTGAGTACACATTTGTAGAAAGGCTATGGTAAGTATTATGAGATGGTGTTTTTATACATTGTATGCTATGCAGCCATGTCAGGCTAAGAAAAACGCTACCATTTTGTTTGGGAAAAACTAAAACAAGATCGGGCCACCTTCAGGACTTCAGTACAGCAGGCCATAAAAGTTGTATCCAAAGGACTGTGTACTCTTCCTTTCTACAGTCGATGAGAGAAAACCGCTGTATGAGTTAAACATTTACAGTAAACTGAACACTAGGCCTCGCCCAAACAAATGACAAGAAAGCAGATATTGAAAACACCTTGACAGTTTTGTTTTCAGAGTAAGAAAATAATCTCTGAGTTGGCCTAAGTTAAAAATACAACATAACATCACCGCAAACCTAAAATGAAAATAATAAAGTTTTGCAAGCGAAATTTTTACGGTGCCACTGAAGATCAACAAACGTCAACTTTCATCTGTAAAGCCTAGTAGTAATTTGTGACTTATACTTTGCAATAATCTAAACTATGACAGAGTTGAACCTTTAGTCTACAGAGTATTTCTGGTAGTTTTATAAATGCCAGGCTAAAACCTATTCCCTAAATCTTCATCCTGTTATCTTTTCACGTTTATGTGGACAATTATTTTATTCTGCAGAGTTTTTCATTCAACTCTTCTTAACCTTTAAAAGAATACAACATTGTTTATGTTATATAGGATTCATGGGGACAGCCGTATTGAAATACAGGAATTAAAGCAAATAAAAATATTTTTACTGATTTTTTTTCCCTACACCTAAATGTTACCCGAGCATCATCAATACCCACCCACTGCCTATACCCTAAACCCCCAATACCACACATTTGAGAGCCTATTCCTGTGTACTGGTCACATTTCTTGAATACATTTTTTTTTACAGTACAGTTACCTCTCAGTATGGATCTAAATATAAGCTAGCTTAGCATAGCCAAACAGCCAAAACTTTATAATTACTGTAATATAGTGTATAACTGAATGTTGCTGATATTTATGATAAAATATTAACACCTGGAAGTGAATCTCTCACAGAGAAAACTTCATGAGCTTTATCAGGGGGGAATAATGTTAAATGGAGACACACATCTTTGCTATAATCTGGGACCAATAAACACTTGTCTTTTAAAGTTAATACTTTTTAACTAAAGCAGTACAGCCAGTCTAACTAAAGGGACACTCAAACAGGCTGCGTGCGCTCCTGCGGCAGCACTGTCTCTGAAGGACCAGGAGTCTCTTTGCACTCTCAAGTTGCAAATGTTTTTGACGATGCTCTGAACACATTAGCATTTAATACAATGTTCGATTTTAGATACAAAAGTCTTGGGGAGGTCGTGGGAATGATGCGAGAGGTCTGTCAGCCACAACGGGATGAGTGGCGGCTGTGCACATGCGTGGTTTGTTTACAGTGTGCATCTCTGCAGTGAGGATCTCTGTGATGCTGAACAACTGTGAGTGCTTTGGGATGGAGAGGGGGGTCATAGCTCGGGTTGGGCACTGAGCCTCGAGAATCGATTGAAACCGGGACTAACATTCGGGTTCTCCCAGAAACGTTCACATTTTTTATTCCCAATTCCTACTTTCGATGCCTAGTCCGCCGACTGGAAGAAGAAGCCGCCCTCTGAGTAAAGTTAATAAAAAGTAAAAAGTTCATAGAATTAAAATTCAATTAGAAGTTCAAATCATTTAATCCAAAAAGAACTCTAGCTGCTAGCTCATGTATACCATGAAAACTTTTTTTAAACCCACCTCAAAAAAGAATCGGAATCGAGAATTGATAGAAACCGGAATCGAAACGATGAATTGGAATCGGAACCGGAATCATTCAAATTCAAACAATGCCCAACCTTAGTCATAGCTGAGACAGTAACTGTAGAATGAGTTGTGCTTTCACCTGCAGTCACTCACTGCTCCCACCTGAACTCACCGTACATGAGACAGCATGACACGCCCTGCTCAGATTGGATAAAACTATGACTGTGGTTCTCTATTTGTTGAAAGTAGTGTTAGTGTAATCCTGTATCATAATTAGATTGAAAGGCTTTAACACAACCACAAGAACAGGCACTTTTTCTTTCCCCTTTACATTTTTACAGATGAAGGAAATCCATCCATGGCAGCATGATGGTGCAGTTCTTTGAACTGCTGTCTTTCAGTAAGAAGATTGCCAGATCAAATCTGGACCCAGGACCATTCTGGGTGGAGTTTGCATGTTATCTCCATGCATGATTGAGTTTTCTCTGTGTACTCCAGCTTTATCCCACAAACCAAAATCATGCATTATGGTAACTAAATTGTCCCTAGATGTGATTGAAGAAAGGAAGCGGGTAAAGATACTGGATGGATGGATGGATGGATGGATGGATGGATGGATGGATGGATTTAAATCCATCATCCATCTTGGCTACGGATAACTTTAATTCATGGAAAAAAAATCTCAAAGAAAAACCTGTCAATTAATTTAAGATCCAGTGATCCAGGATCTGTTTAGTCACTGGTTGCTATGGTGATTCTCATTATTTCTGGGAGGAGCTGAGGAAGGAGAGAGAACACACTGAATCATGCTTCATTAGAAGACAGAAACACAAACTATAAACTGAACCTCATACAAACTGTTGCTGTGTAAAAATCATTGCCATGGATTAAAACATCAGAATCCATAAGGAAACCTGGAAGCTGAAGCTGTTACAACATCCACACAGGATAATCTCAGTACTAGGTTTAAGTTATTTTCCTCCATGTGAACAAAAGGGACTTTGCTCTTGGGTAAATAAAAATAAAGTATGTCCGAATTTTATTATTATTTTCAGGTGTTGACTGTTGTTAATTCAAGTATTTCTTTCTGCTGTATGTTTTAAAATACATTTACCTATAAAGTTAAGCTATATTCAATTATTTAATATTTTTAAGAAACTTCATGTAACTTTGCAATTGTGAGCAGTAAAATAGGACTCAAAGCAGATGTTGGTTCCAAAAACAACATGGCAGCTTTTGTAAAGTGGCAGGCTTGGACTCATAAAAACGAGAGAGAAAAATGTGTATAATAAAAAGTAGAAGCTATACTGATAAACTCTGAACCATGTGTATAAATAACACACACACAAACAATAGTGGTAATTTTGTACAAGTCAAAGTCATTGTTATTTATTGGATGTCCTTAATTTTGGTATGATTTTAATAAACAAATTGAGAAGTTTAAGGGCATAAAAATGAAACGGTGTAGTTTTTGTGACACTTTATTGCTGTAATTTGGTGTAAAAACTAAACAAAGTTAGCTACATTCAAAGTTTTAGTGTAGAAAATAAATTATTTGTATGAATGTGAAAAAGCAGATTTTTTTCATCCCAGCATTATAAAAGTTTTACAGACAATAGTTTCAGAAACTATTTTTGTTGTTCTATCATAACTGAAAAACAAACAACATTATAATTTCTGGGCTGACACATTTTGTATTTTACTATATAGAATTGAAGACTATAGGACATTTGTAACAAGACTTTCAGTTGATTCAAAAGAACAAATTTTCATAAATGTGAAGAATCATCAGCTCAATCATCATCAAATAGCATAGTCCCTTAAAATATTTTAAATATATATTTAAAAAGTAAAGTGAATCCATTTGAAGTTTGACTTACCTGACGACATGCACAGAGGGCTTCCTGGTACTGATGGGTGGACAAGACCTTTGGCTCTTGTTTCTCCTGGTTTTTATCGTGTCAGAGCTGTAAACATAAATGATTAACATGGGGAGATACGCACAACCAGCACCACTTTGCCTCAACCCCTTCCCTGTTTTAAGTTATGATAAATAAGAAATAAAAAGGTTTAATTTAACAGAGAAAATATGTTTAAAGTGTCTCTTAGCAGAATTCAAAAACTCCATTCTGGCTATTTAATTGTCGAGGTTCTGCAGGGGGAAAGAAGTCTAAACAGAAAACTCCTCACTCCA